TGATGGACATTTGGTGTGTTTCCACTTTTTGGCTATTGTGAGTAATGCTGCTATGATTATTTTTGTGCAAGTTTTTGGTGGACATATGTTTTTAATTCTCTTGGTTATATACCTAGGAGTAAAACTGTTTAAGTCATGTGATAACTCCATTTAGCATTCTGAGGAACTGAAAAAGTTCTCAAAGCTGCTGCACCATTTTACATACCAGCAAGGTTTGAGGGTTCCACTTTCTCCACATGCTTGCCAACATTTGTTGTTATTTGTCTGCTTGATTGTGGGTAACCCCCCATATAGGCACTGAGGAAAGAGACCTGAGCAGAACCCTGGCACAGTTAGGGCTTGAAGAATAACTCAGTTTATAGTGTTACTACCCAACTATTTCCTTTTATATAATCCTTTATATAATCACATATTAGTTTATAGAATTAGGGCTTGAAGAATCCCTTTATATAATCTTCTATATATAATCATATAATGGTTCATAGTATGAGTGCCTAAAGAACATTTCCCTACACATACATAATTATATGTTAGTTCATAATCGGAGGAATGCCTAGAGTGGACACAGTACAGAGCGTGAATTAAGGAATAAGCAGCTTATAATTGGAGAAATGTCTAGAGCAGACACAGTGCAGAGCATGATTTAAGGGAAAAACACTTATACCAGGACAAGAATCCATGGCCCAGGTGGCAGCGTTCAGTGTCGTAAAGACACCCGCTATATGGCAGGCTTGGGGCGAGAGCCACTCCTCCTGATAAAGGAGTTGTAGGACCTTGCTCCAGTTCTTGTGGAGGGCTGCCCTCAGAACAACAGGCAATCCACCTTGGTGACTGTGAACTTTATCTGCTCTCGCTACTGTCCTGCTCAGAAAGCATTCCCCTATAGAACTCGTTGGAAGCTGCCAGCAGGTGGCATAGACTCTAACAGCTCTGTCACTACCGTGTGACTTAAAGCATCCTCCTATAAATCTTCTTAGAATTAGTTTGCCCATAACTAGAAGTACTGCACACTGCACCCTCTTCACTGCAAATGGCCCACCTTCAAGCCTCGGTGACCTAATGGGAGTGGAACACTTACTGCACATGGCCCTTGCCTTGATGGGAATGGGTCCCTTGCTGCGCACTGTCCACCTCCTAGCCTAGGTGACCTAATGGGGGTAGACTCCTTGTTTTATTGCTCATGACTCTATCACTATCCTTAAAGATGATTTCACTCACTGCCCTGCCCCCTAACCTATACACAATAAATACTCACACTTCTGGACATTTGGGGCCTCGCCTGACTCTGCTCATAGGTGGCGTGGCCCCCCCGAGCCCAGCTGCATTTTCCTTGTACTTCTGTGTCCTGTCTCTTTATTTCTTGCATCCTGCGCCTCAGCACAGCATAAGGCACGCCCCATGACCCTGTGGGCCTTCAGCCCCACACTTGATTATAGTCATCCTTGTGTGTGTGAACTGGCATCTCACCGTGGTTTTCACTTGCATTTTTCTAATGGCTAAGATGTTGAACATCTTTCCATGTTTTTGTTGATCATTTGTCTATCTTCCTTGGAGAAATGTCTATTCAGATCCTTTGCTCATTCTTTAATAGGGTTTTTGGGAGTTATTTATCCTTTGATTATTGAGTTCAAGTTATTTATATAGTCTGGATACAAGTCTCATATAAGAGATATGATTTGCAAATAATTTCTTTTATACTGTGGGTTGTCTTTTTACTTTCTTAATGGTATCATTTGCAGCAAAGGAGTTTTTAATTTTGATGAAGTCGAACTTAACTATTTTTCCTTTTATCACTTGTGTTTTTGGTGTTTTATGTAAGAAGCCATTACCTACTCCAAGTTTACAAATATATATTTTTATGTAAACTTCTAAGAACTTTATAGTTTCAACACTTACATTTAAGTCTATGGTCTATTTTGAGTTGAATTTTGTTTATTGTAACAGGAAGGGCTCTAATTTCATTCTTTGGCATGTGGATATCCAGTTGTCACAGCACTATTTGTTGAAAGACTATTTTCTCCCTATCAAATTGTCTTGGCATCCTTGTTAAAAATCAATTGACCATAAATGTAAGGGTTTATCGCTGGACTCTCAATTCTGTTCCTTTGATCTACATGTCTATCTTCACACCAGTAACTTCATTACTATAGTTTTGCATTAAGCGTTGAAATTGGGAAGTGTTAAGTCCTCCAGCTTTGTTCTTTTTTAGTTTTGACTAGTCTGGGTCCCTCACATTTCCAGGCATTGCTTTTATCCTCAAGGGGAAAATTTTTTAGAAAAAAATAAAAAGGAACTGCAGGAATTGTGAAATTCATTTTGTGTTTTCTGAGTGATACTTCTGCAATGCACTTTTTCTCTTGGATGGGGGAATTTCTCTCTTGTAAGTTCAGTCCCAGTTATGGTAGATTTCCATTTTCACTACTGATGAACACTGCAGAGTATTGACTCGGCCAAAGCCTCATCCTGCCTTGAGTCAGTTGGCTGGGTCAAAGGTTATTTTCACATAGGAGGTTTTACAACATCCTAACTTTTTATGTACTGCTAGCTAAGAATTATCACAGTCTATTGTTTTGGTTTCTGTACTGTTTGATTGTACACCTCACTGGCAAATCATACTCTTGAGTATGAGTTTTTGAACATTCATTTTGAGTATACAAATATATAACTATTTCATTTATAAGTTATAGATGCTCATGATTATTATATAAACACATAAACAAAAGAGAAGTTTTAGAAAATGAGATAAAATGACTAGAAATAGATGGTCCCCCACCTCTCAATGGCTTTTATCTTGCTGGAGACGGCTCTCTTGGATCTTTCCTGTTTACCTCTGTGTGGTCCTAGCACCCAGCCAACCAAAGGGACCTAGTATACAGCAGAAGCTCAATAATGTTTGAAAGAAAAATTTCAGGCCAGGTGGGGTGTACCTCAGGCTTGTAATCCCAGCACTTTGGGAGGCCAAGGCAGGCAGATCACTTGAGGTCAGGAGTTCGAAACCAGCCTGGCCAACACGGTGAAATCTTGTCTCTGGTAAAAATACAAAAAGTAGCCAGGTGTGGTGGCAGCCTCCTGTAATTCCAGCTACTGGGGATGAGAGGGTGCTGAGGCACGATTCCTGGGAGGTAGAGGTTGCAAGGATCCAAGATGGTGCCACTGCACTCCAGCCTGGTCAAAAAAAAAAAAAAAAAAATTCAGCTAGCTTACTATTTTTATTAAAATACACTGCTTCCATCCCTAAGTTTTGCACCTAGCAAGTAAAGGTTCTGCATCTATTGTCTGCCAATTGGCTAGGGTTATTTTGTAGAAAGGCTATGGATCTCTTCATCTCTCCTTGTCTTCTCTTTTACCTTTGACTTGCACCACATCTGACTTATTTAGAAAACAGCAGTTTTCTCATCCTTAATTTATACTCTTCATTTCATACCGTGTGGTCCAGCAGAGTCCTGATACTAAGACCATAAAGAATGGAAAGCAAGGTCTCTGATCAGGATGTTGCGCAGCAGGAGTGAACAAAAGGCAAGGAAGCTCTAGGGCGTGAACATCTGGGAAGGCTTCAGGGAACTGGATTTTAAAAGAAGAGTGGGCAGTTAGCCAAATGGAGAAGAGAGTTAGGCTGTCCTAGTTGAACTGTGGGAGCCAAGACAGGCGAGCCAGCACATTCCGGGAGAGGGGTAAGTTTGAGTTTGTTCTAGCTGAACACAAGGGGCAAGGGTGGTTGCATCTGTTTTAGGAAGAGCTCTCTGGCAGACCTGTGGAGTATTAGACTTTTTTTTTCTTTTTTTTTGAGAAGGAGTCTCGTTCTGTAGCCCAGGCTGGAGTGCAATGGCGCAATCTCGGCTCACTGAAACCCCCGCCTCCCAGGTTCAAGCGATTCTCCTGCCTCAGTCTCCTGAGTAGCTGGGATTACAGGCACGTCCTACCACACCTGGCTAATTTTTTTGTATTTTTATTAGAGACGGGGTTTCACCGTATTAGCTAGGATGGTCTCTATCTTTTGACCATGTGATCCTCCTGCCTTGGCCTCCCCAAGAGTATTAGACTTTTTATTTATTATTTATTTAGAGACAGGGTCTTGCTCTGTGTCCCCAGCCTGGAGTGGCACATTGGCAGCTCACTACATGCAATCTCCACCTACCTGGCTCAAGAGATCCTCCCACTTCAGCTGCTCAAGTAGCTGGGACCCCAGGTCCAAGCCACTGCTCCCGGCTAAGTTTTGTATTTTTTGTAGACACGGGGCTCGCCGTCTAAGATACTCGCAGACCTGGGCTGGGAGTATTAAACTTTTGAAGCTGGAAGTAGGGATAGGCTGTTGGTGGCCTGGAAAGCAGTGCACAATTACAGACAGAATGTGGAAACCTCTGCGCTTGGAGGCCCGAACGAAGCAGGGAAACTTTGCTTTAGTGCTCTAGCTAGCAGTATTCTTTTTTTAGGATCTCAGAACCGACTTTTTTTTTTTTTTCTTTCTGTCCTGGGTTGTTTATCCTTTCCCTTTGTCCCCAAGAGACACTTACACCTTTATCAGAAAATTACGGTCTGTTTCCTAACCTAAGCATCGCGGGATTGGTTGGGAGCATTCTGTTTTGGGGTTCCATCGAGGCCTGTGGCTCAAAGGAAGACACAGAGGTGCTGCGCTGCACAGGTTCAATCAAGCAGGGGCTGGATTGAAGGCTTCATCCCACCCCCGCCCCAATTAAACCTCAAGCACAGGATCAGAGGCTCTGACACATCCTGACAGAACAGCCTCTGGGGTGCCAGGAACCCCCCACCGACGGCCATCGGCGGGTCTACACCGGCCGGGAAACCCAGGTCCCGGCTCCTTCCTGGACGACGCCCCTGCCCCGCCCCGCCCCGGGGCGAAGGGGGCGGGGCCAGTCGGTGCCCTCAGGGTGGGCCCTGCGCCAAGTCAGGTCCGGCCCGGCCCGGCCCGCGGCCCCGCGGCGCCGGTGGGCGGGGCCTCCCTCCAGGCCGTGTCCGTAACGGCGTCAGGCCCCGCCCCTCGGGGAGGCGGGGCGGGCGCGAGCGCGCGGGCTGGGCCGGGGCGGCCTGGTCGCCAGCCTAGCCCGGCGCAGTGAGCGGAGCGCCTGGGCGGCGGTGGCGGCGGCGGCGCGATGGCTCCTGCCGCGGACCGGGAGGGCTACTGGGGCCCCACGACCTCCACGCTGGACTGGTGTGAGGAGAACTACTCTGTGACCCGGTACATCGCCGAGTTCTGTGAGTGTGGCCGGAGGCGGGGAGCGGGGGCCGGAGGGCGCCGGGGGCCGGGAGGGCGCCGGGCTGAGGAGACGCCATGTGAGGAAGGCGGAGGGCGGACCTGGCCGCGAGGGGAGGTGCCGGGCCTGGCCCCGGAGCCGGAGCGTGGCGCCCGGGGGCCGGCGAGAGGCTGCGGGAAGCGGGCCGGAGTCCGGCGTGCCGAGGGAGCGGGGCCGGGGTCTGGGCGGGCGGAAGGGGCCCGAGGAGCGGCGCTGGGAGCGGGTCCCCGTCGGAGGCGGAGCGGGGCCGGGCCGGAGGGCGGGGGACGCTGCCCCTGGGAGCGAGGGCCCGGGACACCTGCTCTGCTGTCGCCGCCGCCGCCGTGGCCGGAAGGGCACCGCTCCTGTCTCCGCGTTTTCTCGATCCGCGAGAATTCTGCCGTGTTTCCCTTCCCGTTTCTGTTCTTACTGGACCTCCTCGCTCACCTCCAGGGAACAGGTTCGCCGGCCTGAGGTCCGAACCGCCGCCCCCTGCCCTGCAGGGTGTCTTCCAGTGCCGGAGGTCATCCGCCCTCTTTCAGCCGTCATCTTGCCCCGGCAGTCGAAGGCATCTCGCACCTAATCTGTACCTTCTGTGCCTGCCGGGCTCCCAAGAGCACAGGGGACCAAGTCCCTGCCCCACTCTGTCCTATCCGGCCGCCTAGGAGTCGGGGGTCTTTTGACGGGACCTTCCGAGGATTTAAGCATTCTTCTCTAGCTGCTGCTCTGTCAGGCACTGCTGGCTAGGTTGGGCTTCTCTCTCTCCTCTCTCTCTCTCTCTCTCTCTGTGTGTTTCCTAGATGATTTTTCCTGCCAGGCTAGGAGAAATCTGCCACTTCTTTTTCTGTCGTTTAATCAGGTTTTGAGAGCACATCATCTGATCCTTCTTTTACGTACCTGCTTCTGGCAAAGTGCAGAGACTATCCTTTGGCCAACGATCACTGCCTTCTTTTAGTTGGATCTACTTCTCCGGACATGAAGTGAAACTCTCATTACCCAACCTTCTCATTGTTATGTCCTGCTCCCAGGCATCTGTGCATGGCTTTGTAGGAAAGAGGCAAACATATCATGACAAGCGGTCCTACTTTATTCTGTTCTGGTAATTGGTTAAGTTTCCAAAAAAAAAAAAAAAAGAGAAAAAACGCTTTTTGCAGTTTTCAGGACTTCAGTACTATTCTCTTATGACCATGATTTAGGCTGAGACTCACTTTTCTTGAACTATTAGTTTAATGAATAATTTTTACATAAAAATAGAGAAATATGGGCAAAGGGATCCTTTGTAATGCAGTTACTTGGAAGCCCACATGTTGGCAAAGGAAGCACTTTACCAGTTTGTTGTTAGATCACTTTGGCGAGTCCATGCCTGATCCAGAGGACCATGACCATGAGGGAAGAGATGAAAACCATGCATTCTGAGTTGGAAATGTGGAACATGGAAACGAGAAACTCAAAGAGTCTTCAAATATTGGGTGGGCTATCATACAGAACGGCTAATTTTTTTTTTTTTTTTTTTTTTTTTTTTAATTAGAATTTGGGCCGGGCGCGGTGGCTCAAGCCTGTAATCCCAGCACTTTGGGAGGCCGAGGCGGGTGGATCACGAGGTTGAGAGATCGAGACCATCCTGGTCAACATAGTGAAACCCCGTCTCTACTAAAAATACAAAAAACTAGCTGGGCATGGTGGTGCGTGCCTGTAATCCCAGCTACTCAGGAGGCTGAGGCAGGAGAATTGCCTGAGCCCAGGAGGCGGAGGTTGCGGTGAGCCGAGATCGCGCCATTGCACTCCAGCCTGGGTAACAAGAGCGAAACTCCGTCTCCAAAAAAAAAAAAAAAAGAATTTGGAATTAGGGCCTATGGGCAGAAACTATAACAGGGAAAATTTTGCTTCAATGTAAGGAAAAACCTTCTAACCAATGATATGGGAAAGGTTGACTTAGGGGACAGAGAGCTTTCTGTCACTGAAAGTGTTAAATCAGACATTGTTCAACGAACTCCTGAATATTTTCAGAGGAAAAAAATTAGCAGAGAAAAGGGGCTAGCCTTAGTTGGTCTTTAGATCCTTTGCAGCTTTAGGGGTCTACCTAGATAATGATGACTCAGTTTACAACCAAGGTTTTGGATTCAAATCAAAAGAAAAAACTGGCCTGGGTGTTGTGGTCCATGCCTGTAATCCCAGTACTTTGAGAGGTCAAGGCAGGAACGTCTCTTAAGGCCAGGAGTTCGAGTTTAGCCTGGGCAACATAGTGAGACCCTGTCTCCATAAAATTTAAAAAGAAGCTGGGCATAGTGGTTTGTGCCTGTAGTCCCATCTACTCAGGAGACTAAGGTGGGAAGATCGCTTGAGCCCATGAGTTCAAGGTTGCAGTGAGCTATAATTGTGCCATTGCACTGCAGCCTGGGCAAGAGTTAGTCCCTGTTTCTACCAAAAAAATTAAAAATGCAAAGAGAGAAAACTGGCAGTTAAGTCATGTGGACTATGAGAGAGCAAGATACTGTGTTCTGGCAGATAGCTCTGAGAAATGGGAAATGACATTTGTTCTCAGTGTGCTCAGAAGAGGAAACTGCGCAGACTGCAGGGAGAGTTTTGACAGAGGAATCAGGGGGGTTGCAAGAAGAGGATGAGTAAATGTTGGCAGCCCTTTGCACATGTACCTTGGGAGAAAATCGTCTGGAGGAAGTTGAGGTCAAGTCATCTTACCATAGCAAGTCATGAGTATCTATAATAGTATATCTTGGACTAAGAGAATTTGTTCTTTGAAAAATATGCTTATTAATAATAATATGTTTAAAATGTATTTAAAGCAAATGCAATTTTAGCATCATGATAGTATTTACATTAACGATAGTAGTGATGATAATATCAAGGATAATAATGGCAATAATAGCTATTATCTGAGTGGTCACTATGCACTACACTTTGCTAAGCACTTCATATATCTTATCTCTTTTGATCTTCATAGTAATTCCAAAAAGAAGGTATTATTGTCCCCATTTCAAAGATAAGGAAATTGAAGCTCTAGGAAATACTTTACCTAAGATTAGAGTAAGTGATGTAGAGATAGTATTCACACTGAGGTCTGACTCTAAAGCTACTATCCATGTTACCTCTCCATCATTAGTTCTATCACACATTCATTGTTTTTCTCTTATATTCAAGAAAGGAAGACAGATATGAAATACTGTGGTATCACAGAGGACAAACTGAACAACTATTCAGTTTACTCAACTATCTTTCAACTGTCTTTCAGCATTAGAATATATGTATTTTAGGGAATAAGGAATAGTTTAGAGAATTGCATATTCAGATATGGCAGTGGTTCTCAGTCACTTTCAGCACCTGCAAACTGTCTTCCTGCATCAGCCAAGATTATTTTAAATTCCTTTTGTTTGAGCATATTGTAAGGACCAGGGGAGAAGGTATCTCATTGTGAAATAATAAGCCCTTTGATGTGCCAGAAGTTAAAGGTACAGGCAGTCCTTGCTTTGCATTGTAGCGTGGGACCATACAAATGACTAAGTTAAAACCAGGTAACGCTATGTTAAAAATCAATGGGAAAATTATGATTGTTCTGTGACCTTTAAAATTTTTTTATCAAACATTGTAGTCTCTTACTGTTGGTTATGAATATATAGGGAAATGAAAAAAGTAAGCATGTTTATGTAGTATACTTTAAAACATTAAAAACATTGAGAAATAAACTTTTTTCTTTATAAAAATCACTTATCAGGAGTAATTTAAACAGTGCTTGCCTTTTCGTCACATAACTATAATATGGAATGAGTATTTTTTATTGTTTCTTCTTATTTTATTTTATTTTCAGGCAGAGTATCGCTCTGCTGACCAGGCTGGAATGCAGTGGTGTGATCTCAGCTCACTGTGACCTCCGCCTCCTGGGTTCAAGCAGTTTTCCTGCCTCAGCATCCCAAGTAGCTGAGATTAATAGGGACGTGCGACCATGGCTGGCTATAGTAGAGATAGGGTTTCATCATGTTGGCCAGGCTGTTCTCAAACTCCTGGCTTCAAGTGATTCACCTGCCTTGGCCTCCCAAAGTGCTGGGGTTACAGGTGTGAACCACCATGCCCAGTCGTCTTTTTTTTTTTAAATTAAAACATTTTTTAAAACTTTTTTTTTTTGTTTTTAGCAAGCTACATCTACACTAATGAGGGCCATAGTTTTTTGGATTTTTCTTTTTTGAGACAGGGTTTCCCTCTGTTGCTTCAGCTGGAGTGCAGTGGCACAATCACAGCTCACTGCAGCTCGACCTCCCAGCTAAAGTGATCCTGCCACTTCAGCACCCCATAGCTAGGACTACGGGTGTGTGTCACCATGCCCAGCTAATTTTTTTTTTTTTTTTTTTTTTGATTTTTAGTAGAGATGGGGTTTTGCCATTTTGCCCAGGCTGGTCTTGAACTCCTGAGCTCAAGCATTCCTCCCACCTTGGCCTCTTAAAGTGTTGGGATTACAAGCATAAGCCACCATGCCCAGCCAGGATGAGTACTATCTTTTCCAATCTGTACCACCTTCCAGAATTTATACTTTGTACTTTTAATATTGTGAAATCTCTCTGAGTTCCTTTAATGCAACATTTTTTGTTAGCATCATTTCTCCTGGGACATCTTTATCTTTTTCACCATGACGACTTTATTCATTTATATTGATAAGTTTGCCTTCGCTAAGTTTCTCAGGCTACATGTTTTTGCTTGTTTGTTTGTTTTGAGATGGAGTCTCACTCTGTCACTCAGGCTGGAGTAAAGTGGTGCAATCTTGGTTCACTGTAACCTCCACCTCCTGGGTTCAGGTGATTCTTATGCCTCAGCCACCCAAGTAGCTGCGAGTGTGCCACCACACCCAGCTAATTTTTGTTATTTTTAATAGAGATGAGGTTTCATCATGTTGGTCAGGCTAGTCTCAAATGCCTGACCTCAAGTGATTCACCTGCCTCAGCCTCCCAAAGTGCTGGGATTACAGGCATGAGCCACCTT